TCTCTCTGGGAGACATCAGTTGGAATTCTTGTGGAACCCTCCACTGGCCGTTCCTGGTTGGGCTGATGCAGGCTCAGCATCAGATCGAGTTGCAAGGCAACTAGAGAAGAAAATGATCATGGCGAAGAGTTTCAGTCAGTGGGGCATCAGGCAAGAATAGGAATAGCTAACCGTAAAGGCTAAGGTCAAAGTGTAGTTAAGCTGTCAGGTTTATTATGCAATCTGGAGGAAGAGTGGAGCAAGAGTCCAAGGATAAGCAGTGTGGAGTCTCCACATGGAGGCAGCCACTGAGTGACGCAATGCAAAGCACTGTCTAGAAAGAACAGCATTTCAAATCTCCCCTCCCCACTCTTCTGGAAAGAAAGAAAAAAGAAAAGAAAGACATTTCTGGTGTATTTGAACCCTTCCTGATGCCAAAAACAAAACAAAACAAAAACTGACTAGCTAAATGCACATCTACACAGCAGTAAATCAGATGGTCCCCAGTGGACTTACAATTGAATCACATTAGCTTCAGGAGAGCTAACAAGTGGGAAGGTGTTCTTGATATCTTGTTTTTGCCTTAGGCAAAAGTTCTGGTCTCACTGACTGGGAAAAACAGGAGCAAGCAGCAAACCCTTTCTCCTTCTTCAAGAAGAAGGGTTCAGAGGTGGGCACCAAGGAGGATCCAGGGACTGCAAACAAAGCTCTGTGAGGAGAGTTTGACAGAACTGGGCACATCCAGCCTGGAGAAGACAAGACTGAGGAAGATCTGATAGCACTCTGCAAGGGACCACCAAGGTGTAGTCTGTGCAAGATGCTTTTATGACCTGTTGTCAGTTACATGCACAGTTTGGAAGGGTGGGGAATCAGGTCTGGGATCATGTATACATTGGGTGGATTAGGGTAAAACAAGAAGGATGAGCACCATACAAAGAGAAGAATCTTCTGGACAGATCAACAATTCACATATCTACGACTGCACCTTAAAGGACAGGTCTTCCACAGCAAGGTGATGAGCATTTCTAAGGTGTATGTGGGAAGCAAGTGTTGTACGATGAATTCCTGATCAGATCAGGACTCCCATCTTAAGTCCAACGATGTTCTGATAGTGGCAGGCTTGTAGCAGCCATCTTATGGCAAAGCTCTTGCTTCTTTTGTCCGGACATTCATCCAGTTGAAACCTACCGATTGTGCTAAGTACCACTGAGAACTTTGCTTTGAGTCCTGGAGACTGTTTCTAGAAAGGTACCATTCTGGTTCTCTGTTTTCTGGTCAGAAGATGTGCCCCCCATTCTTCTCGATATTCTTGGGAAATCCCACTCCTCAACACTTTCACCTACACAGCTATGCTAAAAGTCTCCCTCCTTCCATCACACTTCCCTTTCAGATAATGGTTATCTTTAGAAGAGCATGATGCTTTGTCAAATTAACAGAACAGAACAGAACAAAGGACATTGGCAATAGATTTTTGGACCTTTGTACATGGGTCAGCCACTGTTAATCCTTTTAAAATCACATTAATTTCAACTGAATAAATCTAAATATATATGCAATCAGAAACCAGGAGAATAAGATTAAATCTCCTTATTTTTTTAAAATAGAGTTGACTATGATGTGATAATGCAATTTGTGTTCTTCATAGAATTAACTGAGCTATAGATTTCATGCTGAGAGTTTCATTTTGTGAATAACATAGTAAAACTGAACTATGAACATAGAACTCCCCTTGAAATTAAAGCAGGAGACAAACAGTTAATACATCAGATCTGTTGATTCGTTGAATTGGGGACAGTACTTAGACTTATGGAAAGCTGAGCTCTCATTTAACAATCTGATAACGGTAACATTGCTGACTTTAAAAATTACAGTTTAAACACACAGTACAATTAAAAGGCAATTAAAACATAATTTAATTAATGTCAGACACCAACAGGGAAAACGTACCTTTTCCTAGCAGGAAATGATGAAGTTGAAACTGCTCAGTCTTTTGACTACCAAAGAGAGAATCACATTTGTCTTTCCTGAAGATTAAAAGTCTTGACACCACTACTCCTTGAGCAGGAGAAAATGAAATCACTGATATTTGGCTACATATTAACCAACCAGGAGCAAAGGTGACATTCTTTATATATGTTTTCCAATAAACTTTCCATGTAATCCATGTGCCACATCCAAAGCACCTCTGTCCTCCACAAATCAACAACATCCAGGAGGTGACACCTGAAGAGGGGAAGCCAATATGCATCAATCTCCAAATGTGGAAGGCTTACCGCAGTGTAGATTACGTAGGGTTCATGGTTGCAGGGAGGCAGGTTGATTGTTTTTCCCACTGCGGATGGCTTTGAGTTAACATTCAGCAGGCTTATCCCCTGCAAATTGTCTGGCCACTGATATGGATTGAGGCCAAGATTTGTGCAGGCCAAAGTGCGGCACACCTTTGATCGAGACAGGTGAAAATCATAATTTGCATTTTAGTCCACTAGGCAAGGAGTTCCCAACATTTTTGCTGTACTTGGCATTGGAGGAGAGCCCTGAGTGCTCTCGCAGACTGGTTGCAACAATCATGACTGAACAACTTCGGGCCAGTTGCTTTCTCTCAGCCTAACCTACCACAGAGGTTGTTGTGAGGATAAAATCAACAGGAGGAGGAGGATTATGTAAGGGGGATTTTTATTACATCGAGTTCCTTGAAAGGAAAAAAAAAAAAAGGTTGGATGCACAAACACACCAGAAAAGCAAACTGACTGCCATGGTTGTACTGGAAACTCACAAAATGCTTACTTTCCAGAAGGAAAATTAGTGAGGGCATAAGAAAAATAACTAAGACTACAGACCTATCGATTGCTAGTGATTAGAAACCCCTGAACCCAAATGCTGCTCATTACTTAACACAGGTGAGCAGGTGTGGCTCCTTCCTCTTTTACTTGTCCTTTGCTAGATCATCCAACAATGACTCTTTGCAGGGGGAGGGAACGAGGCTGGCAGAAGCTCAGGATAGCTCATATCCTGGCCTACCAGGTCACTTCCCCTTCCTGTGTGCTGGAATGCCCTGTGCTCCACAATCCAATATCAATGTCTGAGCCAGTTGGCTGCAAGAGGATAGGGGGCTGCAGCAGTTCCTCTATGCTCAGTGGCCATGACAAATGTTTCTCTATTATTATTTTTTCCATTCATGAATATATAAGTGTCACAGAAATGGTGAGCCTAACATGTATTCCATTAGGAAGAATATTCCTCCCTGCTTATAGTTCCTAGAAAGAGGTCATCTTATGTCTTCTCTATGCACAAAATAGGAGCATCCTATTTTACCATCAGTGGAATACTTCATTGGCATCTATTTCAGGAGTAACAAATCTTAGGTTATGTTGGATTCAGCAAAATTTGGTTTTGCAAGTAGACATGACAGCTTTTTAATGAAGGGTTAATTGAACTGCCTAATTCTTGGATGTGTAGTCCAGCTAACACTTTTCTTACTTACCTTATCACTGCTAATAATTCAGAAGTGCCTGATCACTCCTAATAATTCAGACACGTAAGTCAATCACTATATATGGATGTGATGGCTGGGCAGTGAAGAAAGCGACAGGAAAAAATTGATCTGTTTGAATCATGGTGCTGGAGGTGAGTTTTGCAAATACTGTGGAGGAGACAGTATTCCAGCCGAGCTACTCAAAATCCTAAAAGAAGTGCAGTTAACGTGCTACACTCACTATGCCAGCAAATTTGGAAAAACTCAACAGTGGCCACAAGATTGGAAAAGGTCAGTTTATGTTCCAATCCCAAAGAAGGACAAGGCTAAATAATGTTCAGACTACCATATGATTGTGCTCATTTCGCACACTAGCAAGGTTATGGTCAAAATCCTACAAGCAAGGTTCCAGCAGTATGTGAACTGAGAACTACGAGAAGTACAAACTGGGCTTCAAAGAGGCAGAGGGACTCGGGATCAGATTGCCATCATTTGCTGGATCATGGGGAGAGCTAGGGAGTTCCAGAAAAACATCTACTTCTGCTTCATTTACTACACTAAAGCCTTTGATTGTGTGGATCACAACAAATTGTGGCAAGTTCACAATTTCTACCAGACTGCCTTCAATAACAGGCCCATGCAATACAGCAATGTGAAGGTAACAAGGACAGGAACTATTGTTTTGGTTTTGAATTCTTCAGGAACAGTGGGGTTAGCAAATCAGATAAAGCTGTATGAAGACAAGAATAGCTGTGTAGGCCCATGAAAACAGAATCCAAAATCCACAGGAAATACCCAGTCACACACACGTAAACGCATGAACATACACACACAGTCAGATGAAGAATTCTGAACAACTGAAGAGCTTTCACAATCATTTCTGGAATCAGTGTTGTTCTTAATAAAGGTACTGCTCCTAGTTTACACTGGGACCACAGCACAGCAGGAGCGGAGAATTAAGTTTCCCTCCCATATACAGTTGCTAATGTGCTTCCAGGAATGTACAGTGAGTGGAAAGATTCCATTGGCAGGGGAAGGGAGAATATCAACAAAGCAAATAGCTGCCAGGCAATGATCAACCTTCCCTGCCTGGACACTGAGGCCCCAATCCAAATTGGGGTGAGGTACACTGAGTCCAGAGCAAAACCAAAAATTCCCATGTGGTTACTAATGAATGCTGTGTGTAGCCTTACTTTTTGATGACTCATTCCCAGATCATGCATACAACTAGTAGAAATTCTGTGCTGCCCATCAAGTGTGAAAAACAACACTGTTTTCAACCGCAACTTGCCTGATGTCAAATTGCTATATTGTCCTTTAATTGCCTAAAGGGCAGTTCTGTCACTATTCAACATCCCTGCAGATTTCTAATGAACAGAGCAACCCTACTAGGTGGTGTAGGATGGTGGCAATATATACAGTGATCTTTAATCATAGGGATGAATAGGGACAGCCACTGCTCTCAGCAAGCTGACATTTGTAATCTCAGTGCTCTACGTGGAAAAGAGTGGATTTGCATAAAGAGCAAAGCTTTGTTCTTCAACTAAAAATGTGGGAATTAGGAGTGGTGTTGCTGAGCTTTCTTCTCCAAATAGGAAGCAAGGCTGATACTGAAAAATGCAAGAATCATGAGCTGCCCCCTCCACTTTATGAGTATCCACAGTTGGGTGATCTCATGATTGGTGCCATTGCTTCTCTGTCCTTCATTGTGCCTGATCCAATAACCTTCACAGGGGAGCCCCCACTAGTATTGCTGGATGAACATGCGTAAGGAGTTAGTAATTTATTTCCACACCCAGTTTATTAATTATTTTAAATATCAATCTGTTGTGACCATAATTTGTTCTAGCAGATACAACCTCTGAACAATGGTTTGGGATGTAGAGAAAGTTTATATTATGGAAGAGATGTGAAAACTTTGTTTTCTGCATGGCCAGAAGAATGCATTTTGTGGTGAATGTAGGATTCTTCACAATTATTTTACTTCTGCTTGGAACCTCTCTGTTGTGCTTGTATTTTCAGTTATTTTCTCTACCAATTTCTGTCTTGCACAAGTTTCTTCCAAATCTCTTCTCTTATGCCTCTCTTCCTACCTCTGTTCATTCACCTCTCTCTTTTGATTCTGCCCTCTTTCATGAAAACTGCATAATGCCAGTATTCAGGTGATTGGATCAAGTAGATTTCTCCAACTTGCTTCCCACAGCAGCTCCACCAGACTGCCTATGTCTGTGCTAATCTGTGGCAGGATGGACAGAGCAGTAAACCCAAAATCTGATTAATAGATTCTACAATGAGTGAAGCCTTCCATTTATGGACGTTCCTTGCTTTTAGGGAAGGCAGATACTGGATTCATCTCAGGACAAAGTTTGTCTGTTAGAATTGGAAGCAATTGGATTAAGGGCTCCTTGTCACTAAGAAGGAGTTTATTCAGTGTGGTGTATCTGGTACTCAGATTGGCCTCATCACAATCACTTAAACTGTTTTCATATACCTAAGAGATGTTCTTCCTAAATGAAACTGTAATTGGAACTAACAAATGGGGATACCATTGTGGCATTATGCACTGACACACTTTGCTTGGGAGGAAGCTTCATTGGAATATGGTGATTTCTCTCTGAACTGTGATGCAAAGGATATCACTTTTTAATTCCCTAACCATGAGACAGCCCAGGGAATGGTTTATTTGGAAGAGAAATATCAGTATTGTCTGACTGTGTTATATTTGTCTTGGCCAAGGTAAGCCAGAGGTGGGTTCAATATGTTGATAATGAAGATGCCAAAAACACTGTCAGCTTCTTACAAAATTCTGTTGGTGAGGAACATTCTAATACAAGGGGTGACTTTGTTGCTTCCAGTGTGTTGCCAAAGAATTACCAGCATATCCTGGCCCTGACGTTTGCAGTGAAGGAGATCAATGACAACCCTCACATTTTACCCAACCTCACCTTGGGCTTTTGTATCTATGATAGCTACTTCACGGCCAAGTGGACCTATCAGACCACCTTGCTACTGATATGTGTGGCAGGGAGATTAGTCCCGAACTACAAATGCGACATCCAACAACACTTGAAAGCAGTCATGGGGGGACTGGATGCCCAAACCTCCCTTCATGTAGCAAATCTCGTGGACATCTATAAGATTCCACAGGTGGGGAGCTTGTCTTTGGACGAATATGGGGATCACATTCAGTTTGTTCTTTCATTTGTGCTTTGGAGATGGAGATTTGTACATTGGAAATAATCACACTGTCCCTATCCTTTGGATGACTGATAACATCAAAGGTGAAGCAAACAATGTGGGCAAAGGGGAATTTCTGATGGGCCTCCATTTGTTCATGTGGATGTGGATCTGAGACAGGAGGGTCTAGGCAGAGTCTCCGACCACATTCACATAAGCATCCCTTTCCACTGCTGCAATTTCTCCTCATAAAGGAATTGGCTTGTTTGCTCATGATGCAAAGCAGGTAACAACGCTTTGAAACATATACCTTACAAATCATACATTGTTATTAAATTATTTCATGGGAATTAACATATGTATAAAATGTATTCCCTGTGCCCACTTCATTACTAAAAGACTATTATGAAATTGAAAGGGAGTAGGTGAGCACCCATCTATCAGACAATGATTGATGACCTTATACTAATTTGATATATGAACAGGAGGCAGTGTATCAACACAGCCTTCAAATGCATAATTCTTTGGGTATTTGGACAACTTTTCTGGAAGACTCAACCCATAGCAAGGAAGCTGAATGGATGCCATTCATTTCCCCTGGCACTATCACACACATATTGTGGAACAAAGTAATATTATGTCCTAGGGTGCCATATTGGAGACCCCTTTTCAGGCACCATTGGAGCTGCCCACATGTGCCATGACACCCTGGGGGACCCCTATATTACAAAATTGTAGAATTGATTGCTGAGGTAATATATGCAAATGTTTTGAAAACATCAAAGTTGCTACATAAATGTCCTCTTTATCTAGCAGTTTTTCCTCTCCTTCTTGTATCTCCTTAGCTGATATATGGCTCTGCACCAGTAATGAATGATAAAACCCCAGGCCTTCCCTTTTACAACATGACTCCCAAGGAGTCCCTTCAGTATGCAGGGATTCTCTCTTTGCTGCTGCATTTCAGGTGGACATGGATTGGGACAGTCGTTATGGATAATGACAGTGGGGAACGATTTCTGCAAATTGTAGTCCCACTGTTTTCTGAGAGTGGTGTCTGTTTGGCCTTCATTGAAAAAATCCCTGAACTTACTTATGTCACAGAAATGAAAGACATGTTTAAGAAGGGGGCGAAAATCCATGATCATATTATGGATAGCACAGCCAATGTATTGGTAGCCAATGGAGAATCATATTTCATGACATTTTTTAGGTGGTTTCCCTATCTATCAGAACAAGATCATGTGACAAGTATACCGATTGGAAAAGTAATGATTGTGACAGCTCAGGTGGAGCTCACATCACTAGTTTATCAAAGGGATTGGAACACAGACATTTTGCATGGTGCTCTTTCTTTCACAATTCAATCGAACCATGTCCCAGGATTTAAACAATTCCTGAATGCACAAGATCCTTCCAGTCCAAAGGGAAATGGCTTTATTAGGTCTTTCTGGCAAAATGCTTTCAACTGTGTATTCCCAGATCCATTTCCGGGCAATTTAGATGGGAATATCTGCACTGGGGATGAAAAACTGGAGTTTCTTCCTGCAACTTTTTTTGAAATGAGCTTGACTGGTCACAGCTACAATGTCTACAATGCTGTCCATGCGGTGGCCCATGCCTTACATGCCATGACTTCATCTAGTCTGAGGAACAGAGGAATGGTGACCAGAGGTGGACTGATGTTTCTGAATCAAGTACAGTGGCAGGTAATGGGCTGAATAGTTTAGGATAGAACAGAACAACATTTTTGTAGGTAACAAAACACATCAAAATAAAGTAGGGAAATGCAATCGGTTAATATGTAAACTAGATGGTCACAGTTTTTCTAAGTTGGTTCCTTTTCTTGCCAGCTCCATCATTTTCTGAAGGTTGTATCATTCAACAACAGTGCTGGGGACAAGGTTTCTTTCAATGAGAATGGAGAGTTAGTAACTGGATTTGATGTGATCAATTGGATTGTCTCCTCAAACCAATCTGTTCAAACAGTGAAAGTTGGGAGAACGCATGACCAAGCTGCTACAGGCCAAGCTCTTACCATCAGTGCAACTGCCATAACATGGAACAGCTGGTTTAATCAGGTTTGGTTCCTGGCAGAGTGGCATCAGCTGCATATTTGAATTACACTCTGTCTCCGAAGTGACATGTGCAGTTTATTTCATTTGACTATGATGGACCTAGAAAAATACTTAATTGGAACTGGTTAGTCCAAAATGTAATGCAGTGAATGAGACTCAATAAGGACCCGGCCTGGTTCCTGTGCTACTGAATTAACTGGTCTATTTGCAGTAGAACTTTAGCTTTATATTAGGGTTAGGGGTGTGCACCAGGGTAGGGTTAGAGTTGCAAAAATGAGGTGTCCTGGCATGATCTTGATGGTTGGAATGTGTTTAGAATGGGCAGAAATGATGAGCTGTGCAGAAAAAGCTACTCAAGGAAGGCTTTTTCCAGATCGATCTATTTTCAATGGAACTTTAGCCCTATATTAAGGTGATGTTGTGCACCAGGTTAGGGTAAGCTGAAGAAAAAAAATGTAACATAAGATTTTATTAATTTGCTATTATTTTGAAAATACTATCAGAGCTGTTTTTTTCAACTTTTATCTGCTTCTTTATGAAACCAGGTAATAGGTATAGTACTTCAGGCAGCACACTGAATGAAAGAAAGCCAAATTTATTTATGGTTAACATTCCATTGATTTCAATGGGACTCTTCTGAAAATGACAAAGATTAAACCTAATGTTCCAATTTCAGTTTTCTCCTTTTTAATATGTGTTAAAACATCTCTGCTTTGTGATGGGTGAAAATTTTTGTGTGTCATGTTCTACCAAAATTAGAGATGTCTTTTATATGGGATGTAAAGAACTTGCAATATTCTGAGTAGAACATTCCATGATCTGAGTGTGCAGGAAATGGAAGCTGTGAGTTTTGTCCACCCCAGTGAAGAGATTTTGGTGCATGCATTTCAAAAGTGTGGGTCTGAACCGCTGTGTGAAGGATCAGCTAGTTCTCAGAAAGGGTTTTTCTGTCAGGCTGCACATCTTCAATAGCAGCATGACAGGAAGTGAGGATTGTGTGTTCCTTTTCCTTTTGGTTAGGACAGTTGAGCGACAATTTCATCTCGGTATAATTTTTTGTAAGAAAAAAAATTCAAATGCTGGAGAAAGGGAAACTGACAGATTATGACTGCCTTCCACCCCCACCACCCCCACTTCTAAAAATCCCACAGTAATAAATCTACCTATTATCCATCCAACTCTCTCTCTCTCTTCTCTCATAACTTCTGGCAAATCATGGGTACATGCCTCTTCTAAAACAGCAAAGCTGTGTTTTCTTTGAGAAATTCTTGCAAATTCCTAGATTTATGAGTGCATTTGAAAAAAATGTTTTAATACAAATTAGAAAATATGCATAGTCTTAAAAAGAATGACAATACATATTTCATGCCTTTTTTTCCGGAAAAAGGCATACACTAGATAGCTTTTCAAAGTAGGTCAAAAATGCGTCAAAACTGGGAGCACATTGAAATGTGATTTTGGGAGTCTTTAGGCAAATGGTAAAAGAAGTGCTTTTCCCAACCCCAGAGGGGCAAGGTTGATCTTCCATTCCATGTACAAGCAGGTGGGTAGCACAGGTGCAGTTCCTCTCCATGTTATGATCATATAATTTCAGCCTTCCCAAATAATCACAAAGCACACTTATGGAGAAGGAGCTCCTGGAGTACTTGGCAACTTAAAAGAGATTGCAGAAGTGGAAACATTCCACTGAGTAATTCTCAAGATTTGTATTCTCCTCCTCTCCTGATGACTTAGGCACAGCCTCTATCTGTGTGCAGTGAGAGCTGCAATCCTGGATTTAGGAAGAAGGTCAAGGAAGGGGAGCCATTTTGCTGCTATGATTGCATCCCATGTCCTGAAGGGAAAATTTCAAGCAAGAATGGTAGGCATTGGAATGTCTACCTATTATCAATCTTATTGATAAAATCAAGAACAGGTATATAAAAGACCTTTCATCAGGGATTGAAGTGTGATTTAATGGGGCCAGGTGGGACCAGGTGGAAGACATTGAATACTGTTGGAGAAGGTTGCTGTGTGAGCACGTGTGATCTATTGCCCTTGTTGTTTCAAATGACCCACCTGCAATGGGTTCTCGGTACTCAGGATGGGTGGCTGATCTTTGACAATTGAAACATACACCTTTGGAGCCTACCCTTTAGCCCTGAATATATTCTTCTACTGATGCTGAAAGATCAGGACTCGTGAGTAATGAATAACAAATAATGAAGGGACTCTGGTCACACACAGTCCTATTATCATACACCTATGTTTCCAAAGCAAGATCTTTCTTTAGTTTCTTTAGGTGTTGGGCTGCATCCTTTTTGGAAACCGTGGCACTCTCTGTGTCCTCACTGCCCAAACAGGGGCTCCCCACAAAAAACCCAGGGGTGGAGCTTCAAGTCACCTGCCTCCCTTTGGGGATGATGGGACTTCTTCGTAGCTGATGGCAGGAAGGGCTCACAGAATGGTGCATGCTCTGGGGGTTTGAGATCCCCTCATAGCCTCATGAGCCAGCAGGTGAGCTGCAGTGGGAAATCACCCAGAACTTGGATGCAATCTGGACCTGGGCCAGGAAAAGTGATGCAATATTTTACCCAAAAAAAGCCAATTCAATTCAATCACAGCTTCCTACACATGCCTGCCATTTGACACTGCAGATGCAAACATAAGTAGGTGAACATATCCATCCATTCAGGCTGATGACACTGAACAATTACCATGTCAATTTCTGAAATCACTGTGGATTCAGCCAAGTTTGAATTGAATTAGGGCTCTTTTGAAGTGGTCTGAAATGCAATTTGAGTGATTTGTTCATTTCAGAGTGGAAAATACTTGAGATGGTAAAAATGTGGATGCAATAAAATGATGGATTGCCTACTTTGACCAGAAAAGATTCATCTGAAGGGTTGATATGGCCTGTTTGGGAGAACTTTATAATGGAGAATACTTTTTATGTATGTATATATTTTTCCTCAGACTTGCCTTTCTGTTATTCATGTGAAGATGAGAAGTACCCGAGCAAGCACCAGGATTTCTGTATACCTAAGGATGTTAACTACTTTTCTTATGAAGAACCTTTGGGCTCCATTTTAACTGCTTTTATTATTCTCTTCTGCTTGATCACGGCTCTGGTGCTAGGAACCTTTCTGAAGCATCATGAGACACCCATCGTCAAAGCCAACAACCAGCATCTCACCTACACTCTCCTCGTCTCCCTCCTGCTCTGCTTCCTCTGCGCACTGCTCTTCATTGGCCAGCCACACCAGCTGACATGCCTCCTGCGACAAACTGCTTTTGGTGTCATCTTCTCAGTGGCTGTTTCTTGTGTGCTCACAAAGACAGTCATGGTGGTTTTGGCCTTCAGAGCCACCAAACCAGGATCCACAATGAGGAAGTGGATGGGGAAGAGAGTAGCTAACACGCTCCTTCTTTCCTGTTGCCTTCTTCAGGCAGCCATCTGCCTTGCCTGGTTGGCAACTTCTCCTCCTTTTCTCAATGTGGACATGCATTCAGTGGCTGAAGAAATCATCCTGGAATGTAATGAGGGATCTATGACAATGTTTTACTGTGCCCTGGGCTATCTGGGCTTCCTGGCAATGGTCAGCTTCATGGTGGCTTTTCTTGCCAGGAAGCTCCCAGACAGTTTCAATGAGGCCAAGTTCATCACTTTCAGCATGTTGGTCTTTTGTAGTGTGTGGTTATCCTTTGTGCCTTCCTACCTGAGCACCAAAGGAAAATACCTGGTGACTGTAGAGATCTTTTCCATCTTAGCCTCCAGTTCTGGCCTGCTGGTTTGCATCTTCTTCCCAAAATGTTACATCATTGTGCTGAAACCCAACTTGAACAAGAAGGAACATCTAATAAGGGGAAGAGATTGATCACTCTACCTGTTTGCTCAACTTTGTGGCTTTTGTTTCATCTCATTTTATTTAGTTTTGTGTTTTTTGTCAAGAGAAAGAATTGTGCCCACAATCTGTCTTGAAGATGTCATCTCTTGATCTCTAAAGTTTTCCAGTTACTTCTTACTGCAGACAAAGCTTCACTGAAATAAGTGCCCTGCTTCCTTTTGAAATGTCAAGCAGGTGGACTGAAAAGATCCTCTGGCATGCAAATCAAACATGAGAGTGCATTTCCATTTCTTGGAGTGGCTCCTTTGAGGAAGACCAGTTGCTGCTCTACTTACGTGGGGTTTAAGCAAAGCTGTTTGCTTGAGGAAGCCAAAAAAAAAAAAAAAAAAAAAGGAGTGGATAATATTCCCCTAAGCACCTTCTATGCAAAGTTAGCCTCCTGCACCAGACTTGTGGTTCTAATGCTTCATCAGAAGTTATTTTGCTCAGAGGTAGGACATTGGAATCTTGTGGCATTTCTTTCCTGAAATGTTTCTTATGTTGAGCTCAAGATGTGCATCTGCAGCATAACAAGTCGAACAGGCCTTTGGTCATCCCACAGATGCTTTGGGAGGTCTTTCCCGGAGATCCCATGTTATCTCTTTTCTTCCTCTTCCCTGCAAACTCTCTAGCTCTACCTCCTGCTACCCCTCAGGCCTAATAGAAGAAAAACTCACTATTTAAATATGAGAAAAGCTGCCAATTCTAATGCTACATAGATGAGGAAAAGGTGATTTTCCAGTATCATTTTAAAGACACGTGGGATGTAGCTATTAATTATAAGTGAAATGGCAATATGAAGTGGAAAAAAGGTTTGATATGCAGAATAATTTTTTTAAAATAAATTTTACTTTCTCTAAAATCTAAAAAGTCCAAAATCCTTTTTAAGAGCAAATCTTCAATAAGTGGCTCTTCACTCCTCCAGTGGTGAGTGAATACAATCCTTGCCAGAGTAATTACTTGTAAAATCAAATATATAACCTATTTATCAAAATCATTAAGATATATATATATATATATATATATATATAGAGAGAGAGAGAGAGAGAGAGAGAGAGAGAGAGAGAGAGAGAGAGAGAACTTCAGGTTTAAATTTTCTCATATCACCCCAGTCCTCTACCAGCTTCTTTGGCTTTCCATGGAAGTCAGGGCTCAATTCAAGCTACTGTTTATTACCTATAAATCCCTTAACGGCTTGGGACCTGGATACCTAAAGGAATGCCTGTGTCCATATTTGCCCTCCTGCCCCTTGAGATTGGCAGCAGAAGCTTTCCTCCGGGAGCCTTCGGTGAGAGCTATCAGGAAGCAAAGTACCTGGAGGAGGGCTTTCTCTGTGGTGGCACCCCATCTGTGGAATGTGCTCCCTGGAGAGGTCCGCCTGGTGCCATCATTATTTGTTTTTCGGTGCCAGGCCAAGACCTTTTTATTTAAACAATATTTTAACACTGTTTAATGTTTTAGGTTTTAACTGTGTAGCCAGGGTGTTTCCGGGTTTTAATTGTTATTGTTATTTATATTGTATTTATTTGTTTCTGTGAGCCATCCCGAGCCTATATAGCAAGGGAATGGCATAGAAAAACTTTAAATAAAAAAATAAATGTGTTTACATTTCCAACGTCTATTTGACATATTTGGGAACATTTTTGCTAATCTATTTAGTGATAGATACTATCTATAAAACATTTAAGTCTATCTATCTGCCTAAGTATAAAACATTTATATGGTTTTCTTTATATAAAGTTGCTAAGATTACCTGAATATTTCTTTCCCACAGCCTTTGCCATTTCTGTAATTCAATGTATAGCCAACATTTTATGCCCATGTTATCATAGTTTCTTTAAGTCGTTCATCTTTCATTTTTATGCCCAAAAGGTAATCATACAATCTTTTAATCATTTTTTCATCCAATTTTAAAATCATTTAATCAAATGTTGCTAATTCCTTTATAAAATCATACATTCTATAGTCTTCACATATCTCGATCATATTTGAACTTTGTGCCACCAAGAAATGTCAATACCCTTACCACATATAAGCATGCCATCCCATTTGTAAATCATGCCCTTCAAGATAAAGAATTCCCTAAGAATTATCCATTTTCCCTAGGAAATTTATGCCTCCTAACATAGCTTAAATTGACTCTATAAACCAGGTCAAGTTCTTTATCAATCTCTTCCTTTTCCAAAGCAGGAGCATCTGCTAGAATAAGGTTTATTAAATCACTTTGGTTTTCATTTTTTCCTCTGGTATATTCTGAAATCTTAAATAATCAAACACCTTCTCCATCTGCAGTATGGCAACTGAATCCCATAGTACCTTATTTGTTTGTGTTGAGTGTTGCATCTCTTTATCCATCTTTTCAGTTTTCTTATCAGTATCATCAGTCTTCTTTTCCACTTCTTGTAGTTTTTGTTTTATTTTAATATGGGAATCTGCAAGGGTTTTTTTTGGGAAGAAATGTTATTAAGATTTTAAAACTAATACTACAAACATCAATGGTCGCACACACGGGATTTACTGGGTCAACCCTCTACTACATATCTTTTAACATTCTATGATCATACTAAAATCCATTCATAATAACTTGAAAACATCTTTAGATCAGAACCAAGTCCCATTTGTCTGGCCAAAAAAAAAAAGTAATTCCAGATTTGACAGAACTATCTTCCTCTTCTTCATCAGTGAATCAGTCTCATCATTTCTTGCAAAATCCTGTTTCTCTTGACCAATGTCAAAGGGAAGCATCTCCAAGTTTAATAAGATTGCAATATCTTCTTTCTTCTTCAGTGATAAGGTCAATCTAAACATTTCTAGATAATTCAAGATATTTTCAATTTTCTAATAATAAATAACTTCCTCACTACCACAATTACAAGTAACGTTAAAAATATCCATTTAACATCTCTACAATTATCTTAACTACTCTACTTCGTGGCAACTAATACTTACAATATCTTTTAAAACAATTTCTTTAAGCTAAATTACTAATGTTTCATCTAACTTAAACACCATTTAATCAATTATGGTTAACTCCATATAAAAACCCACCTGTTTACAGTGTTTAACATATATCACCAACAGCAATAGCTTAACCTTCCCATATCAAATAAAGACATGCCAACCCATTTAAATCATTGCTTTTTAAAATAATAAGTTCTCCGATTTTCAGTTACAGATACAGTCAGAAATATCCATTTAACAATAATACCTTTCAGACAGAATTTCATTAAGCTAAGTTACTAATGTTTCACTAGCAATAATAGCTCAGCCTTTCTACACCACATGTGAGCATACCAACCTATATGAACCACCCCTTTTTGGAATAAAAAGAAAGCAAGTTCCCTGATCTTCCCTTTGCACCTCTGCCATATTTATTTTTTCTTTTTCTTTACCCCTCTACCAGACCTTTCTGGTTATTTTTCATTAAAACATGATACTATCTGTAATGGATTCTTCAAATGCAGCCACATAAACAAAACCTCTCTTGAGTGATTAGCTAATTTCTCCTTCTCTAACATAACACGCAGATCCCATGAAAGCTTGCTTATTAAATTCACTGATTGTGTTAAACCATGTCCAAGTTTTCCTTTCTTGTTTACATTAAGATGCCGTGGTGTCTGCAATAAATCATGTGCCTTGAGTTGTAACCAAGCTATCTTCTCCTTCTCCAGCATAACACACAGATCCCATGAAGGCTTACTTATTGTGTTTACTAGTTGTGTTAATTTTTCCATTATGCTTGTTGTCTTTCCAGTTTCAGATTTTCCTTCTGTTTGCTGGATATTTTGCATATTCTGTTCAGGTACAAATCACTTTCCCAAAGTCTGATTAACGGAAGTGTCTAATTCATCAAAGCCACTTTTTTGTTCAATGAAAAAACCATCAAGATGCTCTAAAACAATCTTCTGTTTTATTGTTATCACCTGCTGAGATAGCTGTTAAAGAAGTCTGTATTGCCAAGAGTGCCTTCTGTATTTCTTCCATAGTAGCAATAATTACCAAGGTTTGGCAGGTGTCCAGAGATCCCAGGAACAAGGAGAAAGATGGCCATTATCTCTTGGCAGTAGTCCAACATAGACAAATACAAGAAGAACCCTTCTATCATTTACTTCCACAGTAAATTATTTATTTTGATTTTTCGTCCTTGGAGAGATAAAGGAAGATAAATCTTTTCCTTACCTACAAAGAGCTCTGTCTCTCTCTTCTTATGTAATTCACTGCGTTTCAACTCCATGGGGGGGGGGGAGATTCCTTTCCTCCTCCATCTGAAGGGCTTTTTCTTTTTCCTTTGTATCAATTAGCAAGGAATACAGCTTATTCCATGGGTATCATTACAAAGAAAAGAAAAGAAAAGAAAAGAAAAGAAAAAAGAAACAAAAATAATTCCCAATAAATCCGATGTGCTTATAATAGCTAAAACTAAACTAAACTAAAAAAGCACAATATGTCGAGAGCTTGTAGAGGGCCTCTTCCCTCCTGTGCTACCTGGCTGAGAAAAGCTTGATTTCCTCCCAGTGAATGTGGAATTGCCATTCCACATCATCTAGGAGATTCGCCAAGCAATCTATCTTAGCCCTGACAGGGCTTAGATTGAGCCCCCATGGACCACCACCGGGCAGTTACCAGCATGATAACGGAGGTTCGTTAATCACGTCTGTATTGCTCCGACGCCATACCGGAAGTCAGGGAATCTGCAAGTTGATTCATTATATTCAAGACATGATGATCCAATTTTTCCAGCCTTTCCTTTTGTTCCGAAGCCAATTCTTGTATAGCATTTTGCATAAACTCTTGAGATGCTTGCATAGATGTAAGAGATGCTTGTATTGCCAAAAGTGTCATTTGTATGTCTTTTTGAAATTTTCCCCAATCCACAGTTTTTAATTGATGTGTTGGATTTGTGAGGCAGATGCAGGTGCCAAAAATGATGGATGAATTTTTTTCATGATGAAAATGAAACGTTTATTTGAAACAATTTTTAAAATAACCTG